GCCCGTCGGCTCGGCCAAACCTGCCGGGGGGAGGCGAAGGAGGAGGAGGAGCAGGAGGAGGGGGATTAGAAGGATTAGGAGAAGAAGGAAGAGGAGGAACCAGTGAACTGCTTGCACAGTTCAAAACGCGAATGTGCGCGGCGTAGGCGAGAGCCACATTTTGCATACCACCTTCCCCCAATCCGTGAAACTCCTTGCAAATGTTTAGAACGAAAGTGCGCGGGGCTAAGGCGAGAGCCATATTTTGAAAACGAGCAGCCCTCAATCCGTCATTCTCGTGCACATGTTCAAACACGCGTGCGCGCGGCGCTAAGGCGAGAGCCACATGTGAACCACCCTCACACCACCGAACTCTGGCAAATTTGTAAAACGAGTGTGCGCGGCGTTAAGACGAGAGCCACCTTTTGAGAACGGCTAGCCCTCAATCTGTGAAGCTCTTGCACACCTTAAACAAATTCGCCCGGCGCGACTGCGAACACCACATTTTGAAAGCCACCCGCCTTAATTTGTGAACCGTTGCCATTTTTCAGCATCAGGGTCGTACACTGTGAGGAAGTCTCAGGGGAAACGCCCGCCCCGCCCTTTCGACTGGCCTCGGGGTGCGACAGGGAGGAGTGAACTATAAGGGAAAGGAATGGAGGCGGAGGAGGACGAGGAGGAGGAAGAGGATGAGGAAGAGGAGGATGAAGCGGAGGAGTGTGGCTGCGATCGACGCTCCCTGCAACCATCAGGAACCAGGAGCCAAACGGAGGAGAACAAAAATGAGACCCTGAGGTCCGGAAGTTGCTTTATGGTTCACGCTTGGCGGACGTTTTCGCCTGGTTTCGGGCCTCAGGGCCATCATGTATCGATCTGGCTTTACACATGCCGCGTCCAGTAGCGTTTTTTTCGCGATGTTGCAGTTTGTTTGCAACGTCGGATCTCAGGGGAGGAACGCTATGGTTGCGAGTTCCCATCTCTCTCCTCCTCCTTCTCCTCCTCCTCCTGCTCCTCCTTCTCAGTCGCACCACGGCCTGTAGGTGTTACGCGTGACCGAAGCCCCACATTCACATATCCGATCCTTCACTACCTCCCTACCTTCATGCGAGTAGATGATGGCAGTGCAAGGAGCAGGGAGCGGCGGCGGTTGGAGACTTGTGCGAGTGCTGACATACAATCCTTTCGCCGCCGCAGCGCCAGGCAGACTTGTGGACATCTCGCAACAGTTTGGCAGATACGGCATCTTGACCTTGCAGGGCACAGTTCTGCGCGACAGAGGTAAGGTGCCCCGCAGTTCGACCACACATCATGTTTTTTTCACCATTCAGGGAGCGGCTCTGGCAGTAGCAGCTCCTGCGGTGTATCCATTGGACAACATGCCAAATGCTGCAAACCCAGGTTGTTATTCGAGTATGTGCCACGCGAGGCAGAGTGCAAGGACGTGGGTTCATGGTCAGATATCGACGAAGCAGATTTTGCAACATTTTCACTGTATTTTCCCACCCGTGGGGAATGGAAAGGTGCAGCCACATACCATCGTTCATTGGAAGAAGAATTCACAAACTGGCTTCACGACCAGCTCAGCAAATTATCATCGCGATGTCTTCCCATCATCGGCACGGGCCTCAATTCGACATGCGGAGCAGACGGAACAACACCGAATACATCTGATGATCCAGAAGATTATATGGATGGCGTCAACTGCGGTATGGTGCGACCAATACGCAAAGCGCATGAATTGGTCCGGGCGGGCTCTTTCTATGAGGCAGACATTACGTACTACGACAGAGCTGACAACGTTCGCAAAATAATTGGTTTTAGGATTCTACCGAAAGCGGCTTTACACACCACGGATGACAGGATTGTGTGGTTTCGTGGGGGATCGGCACGGCTTGCAACACATGCTCTGTGCGGGACCAACAAATCATGATCCTTTTTGGTGTTTGCCTTCTTTCACTCGTACGAGCAACTTGATTCGCAGACGGGCCTCAAGAGGTCCAACGCTGAGCCATGCAGTGCGATGCTATAGTACGGCCACCAGAGAGAACAGTTTTCAACACAGGCCAAGGAACTATTGCGAGCGCACATGCCACAGTCTGCACAGAAGGGGTTCGCTTGACATGTAGCACACATTAAAGCAGGCAGTATGCAGTGTATAGACGGTTTAGCACGGGAGATGCTCACAGAGGCGCCTGGTTGCACGGAGAAGACATAAGGGCTTGAACCGGCGCGGATACATCCAACAGCTTCATCGAGCTAGACGGGAGGCCAATGTGAGAGAACATGGTGACGCAGAGCTGGATTAAATCACCGAAGCTCAGCAGGAAGCTCAAACAGATAGAACAGAAATGGCCGACAAACTTCTGGCATATTGGGTAGAAGCATTGTGCGCAGCATGGAGGGGTGACAGATTCCATGGCGTCCACCGAGTGGCACGCCTGCTGGCGAGCATGCGCAGGGTAGGCATTGCAGCAAGGTTCCCGCCTCGCGAGCGTCAGCCATGGACTAGATCATCAAGTCCAGAAGGTCGGCACGCAGGGGGGATCGGAGGCACGTGCGCTTCTGAAATGTGCATCGCCCGAGGGGGCCGCAGGTTTCTGGGGGCGGCCTTTTTTTCCGATGCTGTTTCTACCAGCCATGCGCTGCACGAGCCTTCTCACCTTGCATGGGCGGGGGCCGGTGGCGAGCAGATGGTTGACTGCCAGGAAGCGCGCGAGGCAGCGCTGCATGACGTTGAGAAGCTCAGAAGGGCGAGGCAACCGTTATCTTCGCGGGGGCCGCGCCAGACTGGAGCACAGCGGGGGATTTACTGTGAGCGCTGGCTCAGTTCATCTGGTGCTACAAGCGAGCCTTGTGTCGTGGCTGCGCAGTGCAGGTGGGCAACTGTGGCCCAAGGCATCTGATGGCACAGGCGTCGGTTTCGGGTTGGCTGCTGTATCAGGAGGTCGGGCCGCCTCGTCGCCGCGCCCCCTTGCTGGGCCCCCAGGTCCTGGATCCCAGGGCGGACCTTCGTGGCCAGGTTGCCTCGGGGCTCGGGCCTCCTGGCGTCGCCGCCAGCGGGGGCCCTCTGGTCCATCCTCAGACGCGGGCCCAGGCGCCCACGTCTGAGGATGGACCAGAACTTCAAGCACGTGCTTTTGAACGATGCCTGTTCCTATTCTGTCGCGTCATGCGACTGGTTGGGTGAGCGCCAGCAGCGTGGCATCAGGCCCCATGCTGCCGTTTGCCAAATCACAATGGCAAAGAAACCGCGGCTGGCGGGCGGCCAATTATGATACTCTGTGGATTGGACAGCGTTTCCCTCGCGCTGATGGGCCCAGCGGCGGAAGTCCCTCATTGGTCGCGCGCGGGGAGGCCCGGGCGAAAAATGTCCCCCCCCCAAATGTACTTCGAACAGAAACAAAGCCGAAATCCAGCTGACTCCTGGTCTCTTTTGCACATTTGCGCGTGGCTTGTTTCTCCTTGCGGCAGGCTTTTTGGAGCGCGCGGTTAGCGTGGCTATGGCGCGGCAGTCTCTCGCGCATGCTTGTGTCAGGCTGGCGCGGCCAGCGATGGCGTCGTAGCGAACGGCGACGGCTCTTTGCGATTGCGTCCGTTTCGAGTCCGTTCGCCTCCTTCCAGTGCGCGTCGCTCGCGCCGGCCCTGGCGCCGATGCTGCCATTTCCCGCGATAGATCTGCGGCGGTCACATAGGATTGTATCCCATTGTTGCGGATGCCCACATCGAGCCAAACGCGCCCACCCAAGCATGTTATCATTGGTTTCCATCATCGCTATCGTATTCGTTGTCGCCAACAGGTTGTTCTTCTTTTTCTCCTAATTCTTCGCGCCACTGGCGTGTCCTCCCAGGTCTGCGCGGGCCCAGTCCCTTTCCCCTCCCCCCTGCCCTTGTCCTCCTTGCCCTTGCCTTTTCTCAAGCGTCATCGGTGGTCCCTCCTACTTCCCCCTTCCCCTCTTCCGTTGTCTTCCTTCTCGCCTCCTTCGTCCGTCCTTCTTCCGCCTCTCTCCTCCCTCATTCCGTCGTCGCCTTCCCGCCTTCCCTTCGCGCCCCCCTTGCCGTACTTTCCGCCCCTCCTTCCGGGCGGTCCCCCCTTTCCCGTCTGCAGCCGGGCTCCTCAGTCGCGCCCCCCCCCCGTTTTCCAACGCGCCCCTCCTTCCCGCGAGGTCCTCGGAGGCCGCGTCGGGGCTCTCGGAGAGGGCCCGCGGCTGGGATTTGGCTGGGCGGCGGCTGGGCGGCGGCTGGGCCCCGCCGCGGGGATTCGGCTGGGATGTTGCTGGTGGCGTTTTTTTTGGGGGGGGGTGGCTTTCCTTGGGGGGCGCCGGCTGGGCGGCGGCTGGGCCGCGGCTGGGCGGCGGCTGGGCGGCGGCTGGGATTTGAGTGGGATTTTGCTGGGCGGCGGCCGGGATTTGGCTAGAGTTGCAGCCGGGCGGAGGGCCCGAGGGCAGCGGGGGCGCGTCTGCAGCGAAGCATTTGCGTCAGGGCATTGGTCAGGGCGCCTTCGGCTCGCGAGTGCTCGCGCCTGGCGCCCTCGCGTCGTGGGGGGCTGCGTATTGGGCGTGGTTCATGGGAAGTTCGCATTTTTTTGGCGCGCGTGCTTCGGCTTCGCAGTCGTTCTGCACTGTGTGGCGGCATTGTCGTTTCGACATGTTTTCTCTGCTTCGCAGTCGTGCTGCGCAGTGTTTTTTTGGCGACGCGCCCCGGTTCTGCTTCGCAGTCGCGCTGCGCTGCGTGGCGGCGGTTTTGCGTTGGCGCGCGCGCGTATTTTTCGGTTTCGCAATTGCGCTGCGATGCGTGGCGGTATCCTTGTTTCGACGTGCGGGCCTGTGTTTTTTTCTCCGCGGGCGCATGCGTGTCGGTGGCTATTCTATTCCATTGCATTGGCAACGCCCTCGTTGTCGCGCATGGGGGATGCTTTGCCCCCCTCTCGTTCGATGCTGTCTTCCCTCGCCGCGGTCGCCCGTTTGCGCGGCGCAGCGTTGCGCTGCAGCTTCCTTTCGCTAGGCCGCGCCACAGCAGGGTCC